CTTTCACTGCATAAGTTTCATCTACTAGGTCATCAACTCAGTAGGAAACCTCGCATGCGACGAACCTGATTGAGACAAATTCTTGATTAGTTTTACTCAAAGAGGTGTTCTGTTATTGTGAAATATCATCTAATCGTTTATCTATCAAACATTCTATTTCTAAGATAATCTCTATTAAAAAGGAGCCAGTCGCTCTAAAGACAATCGAGTGAATGCAAAAAGGGCCTAATCACAATTAATTAGCTTTTACAACTTCAAGTTCAACTCTATGCAGAAAAGGAATCAAGTAGACCCGTCTAATTTTTGAAAATTCTTGAGAAGTTTGCAAAGATTCGCACACATTTTCCCATGTTGTCCAAATTTTAGATTACAGAATTCATCATTCACTGCGTAAATCGTGTATTGTTAACTCACTGTACACATCTGCTTATAGGTCTGTGGGAGGCAAATCCAGATAACCCTCACAACAGAGATCACGCAAACAAATGGTACTACTACCCGAGATCCGTCAATGTGGATTGGTTGAATGGACAGGTTGGAACACTACATCTCAAAGCGCTCTTGTGCTATTTTCCTACTACCTATTTCAGCTAGCTTGGGGTGCTCATTGGGCAGTACCAGCTGCGTCTGTTGGTGGAACCGACGGCTTCAGTGCCGTTCATTTTCCTACTGTGGGAACCTTCCTCAACATTCCAGACGACTACGATTGAGCTGCTTTCGTGTTCCTGCTTTTGATGGTCGTCACATAGTTACGAAGAAACCCAGTTGCGCTTTCCATCGTTGCAATATCATTATAAGAGTTGTTAGAGAAGCAAATTTGCTTTGAACAGGCCTTAGTTGACTTAACTATTTATTTTGTAGCATATATCTGCTTAGAAACGCTGTTCGGCAGTTCTTTATGTAGGATATTAAACAGCGATAAATTTTTAGCCAGTTGCTGCAAGAAGAACAAAGTGTGATTGATTTCTGGTGTTCTTCTGTTATGTTCGTGCTATCTTTTCAGAAACTTCTAACAATTCATGAAGCATCGCAGCATTTGTCCCTAGCTTACAATTCAGAGTTCTGGAGGCAGAAAGGTTGTTACACTCTTTTTGCGAGCGTCCTGTTACCCGCAGAAGGTTGACGATGCTCCGAAGTGCGGTTAATGATTTGCAGAAGCATGATTATTGCGGTGGAGAATTTTGTAGTTACGCAGATCACAAAAAGTGGTTTAAGTCGATTTACTGCTTTTCTTTATGCACAATAATCGCCAATCTTTTAAAAACTTGATATGACGTCGACTGGTGTCGATGGCGATAATCGCAAAGAAGCAACCTCATGTTTAAGACTTTGGCTCATATCTGCAAAAATTTTCGACGGCCAGCATGCCTCGCTTTCGTTAGCACTCAAGGAGCCAAACGTGATAGAATCGCAACTTTATTTTGGCTGCTCTCTGGTGCTGTTTGTTCTAAATTTAGACAACCCAATGCCTTCACACTGTGTGAAATTAAACTTTCTAGAAGTTTTTGAAAGCGTTTGGTGGGAACCAAGTGATTTTTGGGTAGACGAGACGTGGAATAGAGATTTATTCACACGTACAGCA